CCTAATGGTGGAAATGCTTTAGCCACGCACTATTTTGCTCATCAATCGTTTTTCAGAACTATATTTCTGTGGTTTTACTCATTGTGATGAATGATTAAGGGAATTTGGCCTTTGTGTTTCTTATATTTACTCCTGTCATGGCTGGACAATGTATCGTCACCCTGGTGTGCTAAAAAAAATGTAAATATGAAGGAGAATATTCTTCAGAGATATCATTTCTATAGGGCACCAACAATAGAGAAAAACGTTTAAAACATGTATTCCATAATCACCCCCTCCCACACTTTCCATTGTTTTACTTTAATGAAAGATTCGATTTTTGGGATTGTTTTAATGAATAATCAAAAGTAAACAATACAGATTATTTTCACATCCTTCTTTGTTTATTTGTACCAAGGGTGCCAATAATTCTGATCATAAATATTATGTAATATTAACTTTAGCCATTTCAAGACATAATAGCCAGCCATTTTTATTTCAAAATGCCGTCAAAAGTGGCAAAATATTTCCAGTGTGTTTTTCACTATATAATTCTATTAAAAACAGTAAATAATTTGAGATGCGGTAACAGAATGAACTAATGTGACGGTAACACGTGTAGCCCAATGTTTACACCTTAAACAATCACAAAGTTTGTGTTTTAATGTCTATCTCGCCACACATAAACCCACAAAGGACGGATGAGATTTGGTTCTCTGAAGTTGGCAAAGCAAAATGATTCATTCTTGCTATTTATATCTAATGTATTCCTTTGTCCGGCCTTTACGTTCGGATTTTACTCATTTTCCCTCCGAACATGAAGTCATGCTCCAAGAACTCGGCGGTCCTTCCTTTAGTTTAACCAGAAGACGTCTTTTCCCTGTTTCAGCTGGAATTGAAAGCCTCTTCATAGTCAGCATGTTCCTCCGTCTGATTATCCCCTCAGAGAATAGCTTCATACAAACCAAATTTCTCCTCTGAAAGGACCTGTCCAGGTTTCCATCACTGAGTGCATGGCAGAGGGGGATGATGGGTAATTCCTGGACGGAAAATCTGCCATTTCATCAAACGCAGTCATGTCTGTCCTGAAGGCCCAGACTCAAGGACTAGTGGACCTCTAGAGCCATATGTGCCTCTGCTGCATATGTGCTCACATTCATATTGATCACTGGCCCCAAAAAGTATTAAGTCATGTTTACAATTTCATGACATTAGATACACATATCTAACTGGCATTTATTAAAAGAAAGATGCTGCAAAAAGAAGTGCATGTAATTGTGTTGAATGTGCAATCGTAGTTTTTGACTCGCAGATAATATATTAGTGAAGTACACTTTCAAGACTGAACACACTCAAGTTCACTTTTACAAATTTAGCTAATTTCAATTGAAATCATTGTTTTAATAATCTTATGTATTGATTTAAAGTGCAATGATTTTGATGTGTTGACTAACATACTAAAGCACGTGTAAAGCACTTGCTTCTAATTTTGAAATTAAATTAAAATGTATTGAATTTTGAAATGTATTGAATTGAATTTAATTCAAATGTAATTACATGTGTGTAAATACATTACACACAAGTTTCAGTAACACTATATTTTACAATGTCATTGTTACAGATGTTCCATGTAGTTACTATAAATTATGCAACTAAACCTAATCTTAACCCTACAGTAAGTACACGCAGTTACTTACTATATTAATTACAGTATAACAGGGACAGCTTCAAATAAAGTGCAGTACATTCGGCTGAAACTTTAACCATTTACTCAAGTCCTACTTAACTGAGCCGAAAAGCACTCTAAAGTTCAGATAATACAATTCCACTTATTTGCAATTAAGCATCACATTACTTCAGTATATTCTTTAAAAGTATATACATAAGAACTTCTTTGGAAAATTTCCAAACAACAACACGCCAATGTATGAGATCAAACCGACTGACTTTCTTAATGCACATTCATAGTCTTTATTTAATTCAATTTCTCACTTAATTTAAAATGACCAGTGTGTATTGCATCTTGAGCTTAATAGAGTGAGCTAAGATGTGTTATCACAGCACTATAAGAGAGCAGACGGACATTAAAAGCCATTCTAGAGGAAGCCCAGGGTTACACTGCCCTCTGATGGACTACACACTGTATTTGAGAAAAAGATGGCATTTTGAATTAATATTTCATGAGTACAGTGGCAATAAGCTAGAAACAGTAATCCGATAAATACCTCAAATGTTACTATAGCACTTTCTTTAAACTACATCATTGTTTTTACCCAAGTCATGCAGTTTGTCTCGTGTCTTAAAAACCTAAAAAAGCTTTAATAATGTTTGCTTTTTATTCACAATATGAATCAAACATGGGTTGAATTTTAAATCATTTCAGTTACTTATTGCTGGACGCATTTCTAATATCCAAACCAAACATGTTGTCTTTTGAATATTGCTTTAATTGCACTGCAAAATCTAACATTGTTCTTACTAAGAATTTTTAAGTTAACTTTACTTAATGTCTAATAATTTGTTGAACTTAGTTAAAATTTCTTAGTAATCTGTACTATTTGCATGCTATGCCTTTGTTACTCAGAAAAACCTATTAAACATTACTTGACTGGTTTGGGTACCATTTTGCCAAAGCAAAAAAACAAACAAACAAAAAAACAGCCGGGGCAAATGGTTTATGAGGCCTTAATAGACCTTTCACTCATTTCTTCCACTTCTGCGGTCATCATTCTTATTTGCATTCGCTCATTGTGCAGTCATCTTGAATATTATTGTCAATACACCTACAAATTTTAAGAGAACATCAAAATTCTTTAGTTGACTTCATAAATTCATGTTGATTTATTGTGATCACCATTATTGTGATTAATGTTCCCTTTGGTTGGGCACTTGGAACTTAATTTATGTTATTGTAATTATCTTCCAATTGATGCAGTGATGCAACATGAAATCACAAATATTTGATTTCAAAGGAAGTGAAGTAATAAATATTATATATATATTTATACTTAAATTATTTCCATGTTATGAATGAATGTATTAATTATAACATAGCTATATTTCATGTATAATAATGATCTTTTAACATTTTATTGCTAACACTTATGGCATAAATCTTTCATTGGGTTAATATAATCCCTCTATATTTGGACGATATCTTGTAATTTTGCTTGAGTCACACACAGACTTCAACATTCAGCATGCAAACCACAACAGTGGTAACAATTGTTTTTTAAAATAATTGAATTAATTAGACCATTACAATTTTATTTGCTGTCTCTTGTCACTATAACCCCAATAACGATAGCAAATAAAATTGTAATGGTAAAACAAAGCCAAAAATAGTAAAACAAAGCAATTCATTTATTCATGCCGCAATGCACTCGGAGTACGCTTCCTCAGATCACAGATAGAATTAAGTTGACAAAACTTAAATGGATTAAGTAAGAATAACTTGATGCAATTAAGTTATGCTTACTTGATGAAATTAAGGCAACGAGTTTGCATAATTAAATTAAGTAAACTGAACTAATTGTTTTTTACAGTGTGGTTATATTTTAGTGTTTGAGTATTTATTTGTAAATCCCTTAAAACCAATATGAAAACCCCCAGAGTTAATATAATTACTGACTGATGTTTGTGCTCTTGTTCTCCCTCCAAAATGACGCGCGTTTCTTCCTTTGGGTATTTAATACATTTCATTGAGTTTTAAAAATATACATAGTTCAGTAAGTATACCAAAAAGAGCAATAAAACTAACCTCAAGTTGACACACGTTAGTTAACTGTAAAGTATGGAAGCTTGTTTCCGCCACTGAATAAAAAATAAAAAATTGCGACTTTTTATCTCACAATTGCGAGATATGAAGTCAAAATTGTGAGAAATAAAGTCGCAATTACGAGATACAAAGTCGCAATTAAGAGAAATAAAGTCGCAATTGCGAGAAAAAAAGCCAGAATTGCGACAATTCTGACTTTTTTTCTCACAATTGCGAGTTTACATCTCGCAATTCTGACTTTATATCATAATTGCGAGTTTATATCTCGAAATTCTGACATCTTTTCTCAGAATTGTGAGATATAATCTCGCAAATTGCGAGTTATCAGGCCAATTGTAAGGGGGGAAAAAGACTAACTTTTTTCCCCCTCAGAATTGTTTATATCTCACAATTCTGACTTTACAACACGTAATTTCGACCTTTTATCTCGCAATTCTGACTTTATAACACGCAATTGCGATTTTATATCACGCAATTCTGACTTTATATCTCGCAATTCTGACTTTATAACACGCAATTGCGATTTTATATCACGCAATTCTGACTTTATATCTCGCAATTCTGACTTTATAACACGCAATTGCGACGTTATTTCAATCAATTCTGACTTTATATCTCGCAATTGCGATTTTATATCATGCAATTCTGACTTTATATCTCACAATTGTGAGAAAAAAAGTCAGAATTGTGAGATAAAAAGTCGCAATTACCTTTTTTATTTTTCATTCTGTGGCGGAAACAAGCTTCCATAGTAAAGTGCCATTGAGCAAATAATCAAAGATATAGTTGTTATAAAGATATAGTGTTTTAGCTTGACCAGAGCATATTTCTGAAACATCTGCATTACAATTTCGTGTGCTAACCTCGAACTTAAATATGGCTCATAGAATATCCCATTCCCAGTCAAACCCTGACCGATTATAGCATCAATATTCAAGGAACATCTACACAGTCGCACTTGTTTGCTCATTACACTTGTTTATTTGAACAGTACACTGAAGGCAGTTTATAACACTGGGGCATCATTCGCACCACACGTTTTGGCCATTGCTCTTAATGTTTTCAGGCTGCTTCACCCAAAGCAAATTTAATCAAACCTGAAATTATGAAAATAAACAGTTTTAAATCAACTTAATCTATCATACAGTTAAATCACTATAATTGAAACTTAAACCTGCTAGTACTAGTGTTACTCTCGCCACATCGGTAAGAGAATGGGACTTGAACCCTAAAGAGCGACTCTTTTACTACTTCGGCTTTTTGTCCTTCTTAAATTCGGCGATTTGACTAAAAATGTCCACCAAATTGGAAGGAAGATCTTTCTTGAGGCTTCCGACCGAAGAGCGTCGCTCCTCTTGACCGCGGCTGTTTCTCTCCGCTCTCTCCATCTTCTCGTCCCCGCTTCGCTCCGACACGCAGCGGTTTCTGCCCTGCGAGGAGCACTCCTTGGAGTAGCGGTCAGATTGGTGAGAGTATTCGGATTGGCTCGAGGAGGAAGAATCCCTCCTGCTTCTGGCACGATCTGCGGTGCCGTGCGTCCCACCGTTTGCATCCGCTCCTCCCAGTCTAGACCCATCTTTGACGTTCTCCGGACTCCTGTCGGTAACGTCTTCAAACCTACCTCTCCCGTCTTCGCTCCGGCCTTTTCCCCAGGGCTGTTCTCCTTCGCCGAGGAGTTTGGTTATGGACTGTTTCTGGTTGATGTAAGAGGCCGAGGTGTTCGCAGGAGCCGGGAACCAGTCGTCCTCGAGCGTCTTATCGCTACAAGACGACACCCTCCGCTTGTGTTTCTTACTGCCGTGAGACGAGCGCCGGCGCTTGTGCTTCCGTTTCTTCGACTTCTTCCGACTCGTTGAAGGGGAGTCGTCGCCCGTGGTTGAAGACGAGTCTGAGGACGTGGAGGAAGAGGTCGACCGCTTTCTTTTCTTCTTCTTAATTCTACATGGGAGCAAACATCACACTGAAACTCGCATGGGACATCAACAGTGATTAAAAGAGTAAAACACAAGAGAGCTCTTACCTTGCTTTGATGGACGAAACACTCAGATGGTCACGTACACAATGCGAAGTGTTTAGAGTGAGAACACATGTTTAAATCAGGGCTAGGCGATAGTTTAATAATGTTCACATTTTGAGGATATTCAACATGCATCTCATTAGGTGACGCAGCGAAGTCATTTTATTTTTTAAATCGAAAATTTTTAACCGGACATTAAACCAGTCATAGTAAAGTTCTTGGTCAACGAGTCCACTTTCGATATTTCAGCTGAACACATTTTTTTGATATTTCTACCCTAGCACCATTTTCGGTCAGCACGTTTTCAATTGATGATTTCAGTTCTCCAAAACTATGTCGGCCGAAACAGAAAACAAAATGTCGTTGATTATCTCCTAAAAAGGACACATGTCAGGGTCTGGGCAGATTAGATGGTGAGAGAACAATCATTCCTTGTAGAAAACATGTACTAATCACAAGCAAGTGACAGAACTGATTTACACCAATTAAACTTACCAACTAAAATGCTTATGTTCCAAGTTTAAATCAGAGGGGCTAATAAAATATCCAGTAGCACTTTATTTTACAGTCCTGTTCCCCATGTACATACTATGATGTACTACTACTTGTATTAATTACACTGACTGGGTAATAACTAGGTACTACCCCTAAACCTAACCGTAACACATGTTTATTACCTTATAATACCAGTGCTTTCTTAGGCAAGTATCCTGTGAGCACACGCACTGTAAAACAAAGAACATCAACCTAAAATCCTCATATTTCAGAGTAGAAAAACAAGATAGGACTGTAAAACTACTCTGACACAATCTTTTGGAAAAATAACAGGCAAATAATAATTTTATTTAAAAAAAACTAAACAATAATAAGTGCATTAAAATCATCATGGTGTTTGTAAGGTTGCTTAAATTTATATCACGCAAATATAGGGTGAATATTTAGGTATATTGCCCAGCCCTAATTTAAATCCTGGACTTAAGGACCAAAATTATCGTTTTAAAATGATAAAAATTCTGATCTCAGTCCATCCATTGTTTCCCATAAGACATATGTACATAAGAAACCACAATGCAGATTTAATGTAAATTTAGTTGTTAAGGCTGTTGACACCAAGAACAATAATGCTAAATATATCACCGTCCACATTATTATTAGCACAATGCATTTATGACTTTATATGCTCACTCTTTAAAGTGGGGTGGATTCTGATTGGCTGGCAATGTTTTTATAATTAATTAGCCTGGGAAAAATAAAAGATTCTCAAAGTTATTCCAACAATATCAATATCGTTCCTCTGTGTTGTTGTAGTGTGGACTACACTATTCGTATAGAATTAGAACGATTATTAGAACGTAATAGATATAGTTATTGTCTTTGGTGTGAACAGGACTTTACTTCCTGATTTCGAATGAACAGTGTGTACGTGACCAAATATGTGCTTGACAGGAATAAGAACGTGAATCAAGATGGTGGTGTTGACATTACCTTTTCTCTTCTTTTAGGATTTTACGCAATTTCTCTGCACTTGTCTCCACGGTCTTAGATCTTTCCTGCTCTTTGGCAGCTTCCTGTTCTTTCAATTTAAGCGATTTCTTTAAAGCAGTTCATTTACAGGGTAAAATTGGAAAAATGATCAGGAAATTCATCAAGCATGCATGCGTGCAGCACACAGGACGAGCAATTTCACACAAGTGCCGTTTTCACACCCCAAGCGAAGTATTCAGCGTCAGGATGTTAAGCAATGACAAAAAAGCGAAAAAAAAAACATTTTTTATATTCAGCAAGATGCAGTTACCGTAGTACCAGGAGCAGAATACAAACCAAAGGTGGTGGGGTTTATGTCCACATGGGGAAATTATGTCAACCCAGTGCAATCAGGGTTAAAGGTCCCATCAGTCAGGTTTCACAGGTCCAAGATCAGATAGATACATAAATAACAAAAATACTTCATCAGTACTTCAATACTTATCAGTTGCAAAACCTCATGCAAGTTTGTTTTTGATAACGAAAAAGTAAAAATGCAGTGTATTAAAGTCCCCCTGTGGTGAAAATCACGTTTTTAATGCTGTTTGTGTTTTTAATATGCTTTAAGACAAACCGTGTGTAAATTCATAAGTCGACAGCATTGCTGAGTATTTCCTCCTTAAAACTGCAGTGAACCAAAGACAGTCTCAAAAACACGGTTTGAAATCGCTGGTGTTTCTGACGTCACAAACGACCTTGTAACCAATCAGATCAACGTCTGATCGTCAACCAGTGGATCTCTGAGCTGAGTGAGTGAGTGGAGGCGGGGCTCATTTGCATATTCATAGAACCGCGCATACTAAATGAGGCAAGGGTGTCGAGTTACATTCAAGATATTTTAAGGCATGAAGAGATTTTGTTCAAGGAAAGAACGCTTAAATATGTCATTTTGGTGATTAAAGGTGATTTTTAAGATTTATAAAATGATTGACTACAGGGGGACTCTAACACATGTCCCTGAAATACTAGAAGCTAACTGTGGGATTAAATCTGCAGCGGCAGCCAATCATGTATTAGTGCCGGTCAGGTTTATCCAGCTCACCTGGATGCGTATCTGAAGCTTCTCCAGCGCCTCGGCTGCCTCTCGAAACGTGTCGTCCAACACCACGGCTCTTTTGTACAGACCCTCGGCGGTCACCAACTTCTCTTCCTCTTCAAGTCTGCGCAGAAAAGATCAGATCAAAACTAAAATGATTATGAAACTGCTAAAAGGATGCACAGGTGTTAATGCATATTGATATCAATGCAGTGAGTTTTCCAAGCCACAATGTCTATATTGATATTTGGCAAATATTGTCCATAATAATGTAAAAAAAGAGTGTTGCTGATGTTGGGGCATTGCTACGTGTCGTGTTTTGGCAGCATCTGGGGCATTAATATTCAGTTGTTAATAATATTAAAGGCCCCAATATACTACAAGCGAAATTGAAGAATGAAATGGTGTGGCGACGAACAAATTTATAGTAGAAATTGAAGTGTAATTCTAATTGAAAGCAACACTAACACGGTTTATTTTCATGTTTAATACTGTAAAGCTGTTTGGTTTAAAGCAATGTTTTTACCCCTAAGCGAAGAACAAAACTAAAAATGTTGCTGAAATGTTCTTAAGAGTCTACTTCCAAGTCTATGTGACATGCAGGTCACTAGACAGGGCACTTACTCTTCATCTGGAGTTACACTTTTGAAGTGTAATTCTTACAGGTAGGGGTTTGTTCAAATTATAGGCGGCTGCTAGGGTTTTTTTGGGTGGATGCCCAGTTCAGACGAGCCCAACCCAAGTCTCGATGATACTGCAATTACACTGCACAGTTTAATACACCACTGATGGAACAAGCGAGCATCCCCGGCATTTCCAGAAGTGAAGCAAGAGCAAGAACAAAAGCAGGCACGACACTTATCCGGGAATCTTCTGAATAGATGTTCCCCTTACAGAGACGTACTTATGAAAACATAACCGGAATAATCACTTTAATTGTGATGGGCATGTAAATGCGGTTAATGCTACGCCACAGGCGGGTTGGGTCTAGTCTGAAACGATCACCTGCCGCTCAGGTAATGAATGCAAGGGAATTCCTACAGGTGAATCACACATGCATTCTTGAGATGGTTTGGGATTAAAAACATAAAATAAATGCCATTTAGGGGCATAAATGCCTGACAGCATAGTGCGTCTTCAAAAAAAAAAGTCAAAACATTGGATCTGATCATTAATTTGGCCATGTAAATGCAGCGCAGATAATGGTAAAATCACTGTTTTCCACTGAAGAACTAGAGTTTGTTGATGACATACTGTCCTCCTCTTTCCACTAGCGTCTGGCAGAGGTATTTCTTAGCATTCCTGTGCGTGGGACAGCTCTCCAAGGCCAGCTCAAAGTCACCGATAGCTTTCATCAAGCTTCCTTTGGTTGCATATCTACAATAAAATAAGAACAGCTTCAGTAATGATGCAACACGAGCCAGAAACATGAGTCTTTATATCGAGGTGTTGTGACTTACAGCGCTCCGCGAGCCACGAGCGCCTCCACGTTGTTGGTGTCGATCTCTAAGGCCTTGTTGTACTCGTTCATTGCGTCTACGTGACGACCCGATTTGAAATGGTCCACACCGGTTTTAACACTATAATGATTTGAAGAAATGATACGGTCAGTTCTAGTTTATTGAACTTAAATATTTAGTAAATGAAAAATAAAAGTCATTAAAAAAAAGATAAATAAATTCTTAAATTTGTACTATTTGCATATATGCTTGTTTATGTGAATTTATGTTTCCAACTTAAACAGCATTTTCAAGAAACATTTCAATTTATTAACTGTAGTAATAACGTTTTCCTTGAAAAACCTTGATCTTAATTTAAAAAAATATATATTCACTTTAAAAAAAGGTTTCATTAGTTAAACTAACAATGAAAAATAGTTATACCGCATTTATAAGTCTTAGTTAATTAAAAAAATTACTAATACAGTTTTTTTTATTAAAAGTTGTATTTGTTAACATTAGTTAATGCCCTGTGAAATAACATGACCAAACAATTATATGTTTTATTAACTAACATTGACAAAGATAATTAAATGCTGTAACAAATATATTACTCACTGTTAGTTCATGTTAGATAACACATTAACTAATTTTAACAAATGAGACCTTGTTGTACAGTTACCAAAAATAATTATATATTTTAAAATAATAAGTTCCTTTTAAAAGTAATGCATTACAATAATGTGATACTCCCTAAAAAAAAAGTAGCTAATTGCATTAGCTACTTTTCATGGAAAGCAATGCGTTGTTAAATTTGTTACTTTTCACCTGGGCTGGGACTTGGTTATTTGTTTTTAATAACAACAAAACAAGTTGTCCTTCCAAAGCAAAAGTGAAACTAATAAAGCCTCATGCTGAAGAAAATGGTTTTGTTTATTAGTATGGTTGAACTGAAGGTCATCGAAGGTCAGCAACAAAGACACTGGTTAATAAAGTGAGATTAAATAAAGTATATTTGTGTTGATTAACATTTAATTATTTCAGGCTTGCATTATATACTGAGTTTGCATTTCACTGTTTTTATTAATTTTGAGGAATACCGAATCTGTTTCTTTTGCTATCTGATCATGTACTGTAACTCACATTAGTTTAATGCATTTACCCCCAACACTGATACTGAATATCATGAAAATATTTGTTTTACACAAACCAGGTTAGGGTGTAGAGAAGGTTTAGGGGTTAACATCTGTTGTAGAAATATGTAGGCGATCAGCACTGAGATTGACATCAGTAATGAGTAATTTATGATATAATATATATATATATATATATATATAAAAATATTAGTGCTGTCAAACGATTAAAATATTTAATCGCGATTAATCGCATTGATGTCATAGTTAACTCGCGATTAATCGCACATTTTTATCTATTCTAAATGTCTCTTGATTTCTTTTTGTCCCATTATTTTTTCTCATTTTAATGCTCTTATCAACATGGAAAAGTGGATCGGCTTGCTTTGTGCAAATGTTTTTTATTGAAAACAACATTGGCTGTGTTCAATTTCACACTAACATTCTCACTTGGAGCAAATAATCTCTCACACAATGTAACACTGTCCATCAATAAAAGGGTGAAAGAAATACTGACGAGGTCCTGATATTGACGAGGGGGCGGAGAATTCGCATCAGCTGTGTGTGTGTGTCTGTGTGTGTGTGTGTGCTTGGCCATCATCAAGTGGTATTTCAGACTGGACGTGCTGTGATGATGATAGCTCAGTTCACAACGACTAAACACACAGATCACTTTGGTCTTGTAAACTTTCCATTCAGAATCTTATTGGCATCCATTTCGGCGTCTCGCGCTCGTCATCCACTCAAAACGTAACGTTAACCAACTATTTGGCCGGCTCGCAAGCTCAAACAAGTGTGTGTGCAGCGTGCCTGTTGTTTTGTTTCCGGTGTAGCTAGATCCGCTTGCGCTTTGGTCGACGAAGCAACAAAACGTCCTCGCGCATGCCGCGTCCTGTTGCAAAAGCATGTGAAAAAAAACTACAAAGTTTGCTAGGCCAAAAAGACCATTAATCGCGTGATAAAAAAATTGACGCCGTTAAAATGGGTTCACGTTAACGCCGTTAATAACGCGTTTAACTGACAGCCCTAATATATATATATATATATATATATATATATATATCAGTAATGAAATCTTTAGAATCAACTAAAGAGTTTGCACTAAGAAGATTTGAGAAATAAAAATCACGCGTCCACTACGCATTGGATTGAATGCAGTAAGTCTCAAAAACTTTGTAAAAACAAACCATTTCAAGGCCCAGGATACAGATTGCTTCTTCCGAATAGCTGTTCCAAAATCCTCTTCTTTGAAGCGCTTGCTGTACATATAATAAATCCATTTAACTGAGAAAACACCAATGCAACTGGGAATGACATAAGTGTGTAAGAGAGAACATACCTCTGAAGCCCCCTCATTAGTGAAGGAGTTTGAGTACCACTTATTCCCAGCTTTCCCAGGAGGTAGTCCACATTTAAGGGGTTGGACAAGCCAAGCGAGTCGTCCAAAAGCTTCTCATAAGTCTCGTTGCAATCCGTGGCCACGTTTTCACCCCGGCTGAAAGAGTGGAAGTAACAATAAACAACAGGAAGTCTGAGATACATGACTAAATGTTCGTTTTCTTGATTCAACATACGTATAATGAAGAGGAAGATCTTCTTTGCTTATGACACCCAGTTTGACTTTATTCAAGTGAGTAGCCAGCGAAGAGGAGTACAGGGATAGCGTCAGCTTCTCGTGGTAGCGGTCAATGTCCTTCACCCCAGCTGTGGCATAAACATCACTTTATCCAATCTAATAATCCGTTTATATACTAATATAATCACTGATCTTCCTTTTTAAAAAGAGTTAAAAAAAACACCATACCTCTGATTAAATCCCCAATCTGGTAATAAGACAAAGGATCATCATGATTTCCAGTCGAAGGCACATTTCTTACTGGACAGAGGGCCTTTTGATAGACAACATTAATTTTTAGAATCGCATTTGACTGACATATGGTTTCATATGGGCTTGAAAAACTTTTACACAATTTTTAGCAAAAGTTTCCATTTAAAGACTCAAGTAAAAAGTAATATATTCCTTACATTTTACACTTAATCAGATGGAAGCTTGTTTCCGCCACAGAATAAAAAAAATAGAAAAGACAACTACGACTATTTATCTTGCAATTCTGACTTTACAACTCGCAATTATGAGTTAATTATGAGCAAGACTTCACATTTTTGAGAAAAAATTCAATATAAACTTATTGTTGAATTTGTGAGTTATAAATACAGCTCACAATTCAGATTTTTCTTTATATCCCCACAATTCAATTTTTTTAACTTTACTGTGAAGCCAAACCCCCTCATGAAAGAAGAACGCCGTCATGTTTACAACAGTGACGATGAGCGCTTATCAGGATCAACTAAACGCAGGCTTTTTTCACGTATTGTTGCAGTAAACACAACACTCTTGAATGAGTAATTTATTAAGATGCACGCCGCTCTGTTGTCATAGGGAAATCAACATTTTCATTAACATGAAAACTGTGATTGGTTGATTTACATGTCAGTCAGACGTCCTCTTGGCCAATGAAAGCTGCGATAGAATCCAGATCTTTGATATTTGATATATATAAATGGATATCCCTACTGACAACCCTATTTGAGAGTAGTTTAGCCTATATTATTTTTTGTTATGTTTTTTCCTCAGGATTGAGATTTGAAATAATAATTGAGATCCAAGTGTCCTTTTTAATTATTTTATTACATGGTGGAGACACGCTTCCATATAATCATTAATTGCAAAAAAGGATAGCATAAAAACATCATGAATTCTTTATTAAAAATACATCTGTATTTGGAATTCTGTTGCTGATGCATTACTGGTGTCGAATTACACACTTTAGAGAAGAAATAAATGAATCAACTCAACCTTTATCTCAAGATCCTCGATATCCCTCTCCAGTCCACCAGCGGTGCAGAGAAGCGTTACAAATAAACCGAAGTCTCGTACTGAATTGATCCTTCCGATAAGCATGTCTCCACGCTCCACGTCCCTGTAGAAGAGCTCACGCCTCTCTTCAAACGACACCTCCATGAACTGCTCCAGCGGGGGCATGATGGCGTACGCCTCTGAAACAACAACACACTCAATCATTAGAGAAAGAGTTTTAGAAGTATTTCCTGGTTGCTCATTTCCATACAATTAAAGTGAATTGGGACTGGGGCTGTCAAGCTAGCTACAATGGAACACAACACATAAATCATAAAGACTACTTGGACTTTTGGTGCCCATTCACTTTATATGGAAAAGAGCGAACAGGAGTAGGTGACGGGTTTGGAACTAAATTAGTGTGAATAAATCTTTTTGAGAGAAATATTCCTTAAACAGAAATAAGATTTTGAATTTCATTTGAAGGTAATGATGACAGTCCACCTCCAGATTCCTCCTGCCATTCATCTGCTGGTGTGGATGATTTCCATGATGGTGCAAACAGAAGATCAGCTTTCCTTGCTATGTACTGTTCCAGAACAGGACTTGTATCTTCTGTATCCCTGTTTTAAACCAAGAACGACATCCACCAATCAGAGATGTCTCTTACACGTGAGTGTGTGTGTGTGTGTTTATTTCTTATAGTGTATTTTAATTATAGTATTTGAGACAGACCCCTGGGGTATAAATGATAACAGTAAGTTAAAATAATATTTCCCATCAAATTATGTAATTAAAGTAAACAAAAAAAACTTACTTAAATTGCATGACTTCAGATGTGTATGGAAGGCCATTTCTGCCACATAAGAAAACAAAATCATGCTTTGATAAATCATAAAACTAAGTTATACTTATTAAAAAAAAGTCGCAATTCTGACGTACTAAGTCGTATTTATGAGATGAACAGTGGAAATTATTACAAACCAAGTCATAATTCTGACATAAAATAGTTGAAATTATGACATATTAAAGCGAAAAATGAAAATTCTGACATCATTTACTCACCCTCATGTCGTTCCAAAACCATAAGACTTTCATCCGTCTTCGGAACACACATAAATATATATTTATTTTTTATATATATATATATATTAATATTTTTGGGAGATTCTGTCAATCCATTGACAGCTACGCAACTTTGACGCTTCAATAAGTTCATAAAGAGATCGTAAAACTAATCCATATGGTTTAGTACAAATTTTCTAAAGAGACTCGATCGCTTTATATGATTAACTGATTAAATTTAGGCTTTTAATCACATATAAACATGCATCAACGCAAACATCAGTTATAGTAAGCAGAAGCTCAAGCATGTTCGCTTGACGTGCGAAAACCAATGAGGTTCATTCTCGTGTTACGCAGCACGTTTGAGCTTCAGCAAGAGCCAATGAGGTTCATTCTCGTGTTACGCAGCACGTTTGAGCTTCAGCAAGAACCAATGAGGTTCATTCTCGTGTTACGCAGCACGTTTGAGCTTCAGCAAGAACCAATGAGGTTCATTCTCGTGTTACGCAGCACGTTTGAGCTTCAGCAAGAACCAATGAGGTTCATTCTCGTGTTACGCAGCATGTTTGAGCTTCAGCAAGAGCCAATGAGGTTCATTCTCGTGTTACGCAGCACGTTTGAGCTTCAGCAAGAGCCAATGAGGTTCATTCTCGTGTTACGCAGCACGTTTGAGCTTCTCCAAGAACCAATGAGGTTCATTCTCGTGTTACGCAGCACGTTTGAGCTTCTGCAAGAACCAATGAGGTTCATTCTCGTGTTACGCAGCACGTTTGAGCTTCTCCAAGAACCAATGAGGTTCATTCTCGTGTTACGCAGCACGTTTGAGCTTCTGCAAGAACCAATGAGGTTCATTCTCGTGTTACGCAGCACGTTTGAGCTTCAGCAAGAGCCAATGAGGTTCATTCTCGTGTTACGCAGCACGTTTGAGCTTCTCCAAGAACCAATGAGGTTCATTCTCGTGTTACGCAGCACGTTTGAGCTTCTGCAAGAACCAATGAGGTTCATTCTCGTGTTACGCAGCACGTTTGAGCTTCTGCAAGAACCAATGAGGTTCATTCTCGTGTTACGCAGCACGTTTGAGCTTCAGCAAGAGCCAATGAGGTTCATTCTCGTGTTACGCAGCACGTTTGAGCTTCTGCAAGAACCAATGAGGTTCATTCTCGTGTTACGCAGCACGTTTGAGCTTCTCCAAGAACCAATGAGGTTCATTCTCGTGTTACGCAGCACGTTTGAGCTTCAGCAAGAGCCAATGAGGTTCATTCTCGTGTTACGCAGCACGTTTGAGCTTCTCCAAGAACCAATGAGGTTCATTCTCGTGTTACGCAGCACGTTTGAGCTTCTGCAAGAACCAATGAGGTTCATTCTCGTGTTACGCAGCACGTTTGAGCTTCAGCAAGAGCCAATGAGGTTCATTCTCGTGTTACGCAGCACGTTTGAGCTTCTGCAAGAACCAATGAGGTTCATTCTCGTGTTACGCAGCACGTTTGATCTTCAGCAAGAACCAATGAGGTTCATTCTCGTGTTACGCAGCACGTTTGAGCTTCTGCAAGAACCAATGAGGTTCATTCTCGTGTTACGCAGCACGTTTGAGCTTCTGCAAGAACCAATGAGGTTCATTCTCGTGTTACGCAGCACGTTTGATCTTCAGCAAGAACCAATGAGGTTCATTCTCGTGTTACGCAGCACGTTTGAGCTTCAGCAAGAACCAATGAGGTTCATTCTCGTGTTACGCAGCACGTTTGAGCTTCAGCAAGAACCAATGAGTTTCATTCTCGTGTTACGCATCACGTTTGAGCTTCAGCAAGAGCCAATGAGGTTCATTCTCGTGTTACGCAGCACGTTTGAGCTTCAGCAAGAGCCAATGAGGTTCACTCTCGTGTTACGCAGCACGTTTGAGCTTCTGCAAGAACCAATGAGGTTCATTCTCGTGTTACGCAGCACGTTTGATCTTCAGCAAGAACCAATGAGGTTCATTCTCGTGTTACGCAGCACGTTTGATCTTCAGCAAGAACCAATGAGGTTCATTCTCGTGTTACGCAGCACGTTTGAGCTTCAGCAAGAACCAATGAGTTTCATTCTCGTGTTACGCATCACGTTTGAGCTTCAGCAAGAGCCAATGAGGTTCATTCTCGTGTTACGCAGCACGTTTGAGCTTCAGCAAGAGCCAATGAGGTTCACTCTCGTGTTACGCAGCACGTTTGAGCTTCAGCGAGAGCCAATGAGGTTCATTCTCGTGTTACGCAGCACGTTTGAGCTTCTCCAAGAACCAATGAGGTTCATTCTCGTGTTACGCAGCACGTTTGAGCTTCAGCAAGAGCCAATGAGGTTCATTCTCGTGTTACGCAGCACGTTTGAGCTTCTCCAAGAACCAATGAGGTTCATTCTCGTGTTACGCAGCACGTTTGAGCTTCAGCGAGAACCAATGAGTTTCATTCTCGTGTTACGCATCACGTTTGAACTTCAGCAAGAGCCAATGAGGTTCATTCTCGTGTTACGCATCACGTTTGAGCTTCAGCAAGAGCCAATGAGGTTCACTCTCGTGTTACGCAGCACGTTTTAACCAATGAGGTTCATTCTCGTGTTACGCAGCACGTTTGATCTTCAGCAAGAACCAATGAGGTTCATTCTCGTGTTACGCAGCACGTTTGATCTTCAGCAAGAACCAATGAGGTTCATTCTCGTGTTACGCAGCACGTTTGATCTTCAGCAAGAACCAATGAGGTTCATTCTTGTGTTACGCAGCACGTTTGATCTTCAGCAAGAACCAATGAGATTCATTCTTGTGTTACGCAGCACGTTTGATCTTCAGCAAGAACCAATGAGGTTCATTCTCGTGTTACGCAGCACGTTTTAACCAATGAGGTTTATTCTCGTGTTACGCAGCACGTTTGATCTTCAGCAAGAACCAATGAGGTTCATTCTCGTGTTACGCAGCACGTTTGAGCTTCAGCAAGAACCAATGAGTTTCATTCTCGTGTTACGCATCACGTTTGAGCTTCAGCAAGAGCCAATGAGGTTCATTCTCGTGTTACGCAGCACGTTTGAGCTTCAGCAAGAACCAATGAGGTTCACTCTCGTGTTACGCAGCACGTTTGAGCTTCAGCAAGAGCCAATGAGGTTCATTCTCATGTTACGCAGCACGTTTGATCTTCAGCAAGAACCAATGAGGTTCATTCTCGTGTTACGCAGCACGTTTGAGCTTCAGCAAGAACCAATGAGGTTCATTCTCGTGTTACGCAGCACGTTTGAGCTTCAGCAAGAACCAATGAGGTTCATTCTCGTGTTACGCAGCACGTTTTAACCAATGAGGTTCATTCTCGTGTTACGCAGCACGTTTGAGCTTCAGCAAGAACCAATGAGGTTCATTCTCGTGTTACGCAGCACGTTTTAACCAATGAGGTTCATTCTCGAGTTACGCAGCACGTTTGAGCTTCAGCAAGAACCAATGGGGTTCATTCTTGTGTTACGCAGCACGTTTGATCTTCAGCAAGAACCAATGAGGTTCATTCTCGTGTTACGCAGCACGTTTGATCTTCAGCAAGAACCAATGAGGTTCATTCTCGTGTTACGCATCACGTTTGAGCTTCAGCAAGAGCCAATGAGGTTCATTCTCGTGTTACGCAGCACGTTTGAGCTTCAGCAAGAGCCAATGAGGTTCATTCTCGTGTTACGCAGCACGTTTGAGCTTCAGCAAGAACCAATGAGGTTCAATCTCGTGTTATGCAGCACGTTTGAGCTTCAGCAAGAACCAATGAGGTTCACTCTCGTGTTACGCAGCACGTTTGAGCTTCAGCAAGAGCCAATGAGGTTCATTCTCGTGTTACGCAGCACGTTTGAGCTTCAGCAAGAGCCAATGAGGTTCATTCTCGTGTTACGCAGCACGTTTGAGCTTCAGCAAGAACCAATGAGGTTCATTCTCGTGTTACGCAGCATGTTTGAGCTTCAGCAAGAACCAATGAGGTTCATTCTCGTGTTACGCAGCACGTTTGATCTTCAGCAAGAACCAATGAGGTTCATTCTCGTGTTACGCAGCACGTTTTAACCAATGAGGTTCATTCTCGGGTTACGCAGCACGTTTGAGCTTCAGCAAGAACCAATGAGGTTCATTCTCGTGTTACGCAGCACGTTTTAACCAATGAGGTTCATTCTCGTGTTACGCAGCACGTTTGATCTTCAGCAAGAACCAATGAGGTTCATTCTCGTGTTACGCAGCACGTTTGATCTTCAGCAAGAACCAATGAGGTTCATTCTCGTGTTACGCAGCACGTTTGATCTTCAGCAAGAACCAATGAGATTCATTCTTGTGTTACGCAGCACGTTTGATCTTCAGCAAGAACCAATAAGGTTCATTCTCGTGTTACGCAGCACGTTTTAACCAATGAGGTTCATTCTCGTGTTACGCAGCACGTTTGATCTTCAGCAAGAACCAATGAGGTTCATTCTCGTGTTACGCAGCACGTTTGAGCTTCAGCAAGAACCAATGAGGTTCATTCTTGTGTTACGCAGCATGTTTGATCTTCAGCAAGAACCAATGAGGTTCATTCTCGTGTTACGCAGC